CAACCTTCAGAGACAGCAGCATCCAAACCTTGATGTTTCCAAATGTTTGAATTCCATGTTCCAAACACTGCTGTAGGTCATGTGTTCAGATAAATAAATATCTGTAAGAGTAAACTAATGCCACACCTCCATTACAGGTCAGCCAGCTGGGGCTGCAGCTAAGGATTATTTTATCTAACCATCCATATCTGGTACACGCTTCTTCTTTTCAGGGTCGTGTTGGTCACTGGTGCCCATTTCCAGCAATCACAGTGAGAGGGGCGGGGTACACCCTGGACAGGTCGCAAGTCCATCACAGGGACACACATGGARACAAWCGAGAMAAACAACCATTCACTAGTTATCAATTAACCTAACAGTCATGTTTTTGGTCTGTGGGAGTGCCCGGAGAGAACCCACGCATGCACGGAGAGAACATGCAAACTCTACCCAGGAAGGTCCCTGGGCTGGGATTTGAACCGGCAACCTTCTTGCTGAGAGGCATCAGCTCTACCAACTGAGCCACTGTGCCAACGATCAGTAATCGATTAATCTATAAGTTATTCTGTCGATTAATCGAGTAATTGGATTTAAAAATTCTCATCTCCTACAGTCATTACACCTATTTTATAATTTTGAAGGGGTAATCTACACCTGCTGACGATCCTGCTGCAATCAAAGTAACACAGCTAGTAACAATCACTTATGGCACAACAGCAAGCATATGAGTGTTCACTGTGAGTGCAGTGGATTTTAGGAAAACACAAAAAGCCTTTTACTGACTCTGAAATGATCAAAGAGTGCATGGAAGCTGTGGCAGAAAMCCTTTTAGATGGAAAAGAAGGATAACAACTTAAAGAAAAAGAAAAGGTCAAAGAAATACCCGTCAGCCACAAGCCCAACAAGGAGATCAGAGTTGTACAGATGTACAGACCCAGCTTGACTGTTCCATTCAAAGTGCTCCCTGCACAGCATTGGCAGATGTGAACGACAATGCCCAGCTTTTGGTATATGTCAGATTCTATCACAAAGAGAGTAAAGGTTTTGCAGAGGATATGTACACACCAGAGAAGACATATACTCAGCAATAAAACAAATGTTTTTTACAAGAGGGATCAATCTGGACAGTGTTGTCTCTATTACCACTAACTGCATTTCCATTGTCCATAAAAAAAATGTGCAAATTAGAATTTCAAAAATAAATTTGCCCAATGGAAACACGTCAATTTCGAAAAAATATTACATTTTTCGACAAAATRTTTTTGCGAKGTTTTGATAAGGTGGTTTTTTGGCCATTTTGAAATTGGTGTATTTCGCAAAACTGCAATGGAAACACCTTTTTTCGCATCACGGGAGTCATGTGATCAAGAACTGSCTGTTTCTGCTGGCGAAAAAGATGACGAAGAAAAAGTCAGCAGGAAGTAAAAGTAAAAGTAAAATCACCAAAGTAGTGAAAGAAAGTAGTAAACTCACCGACTACAATTTCCCAAAAACACAGTATACTGTACGTAGCTGCTCCCAGTATAAGGGGCTTGTTGCTCGAAAGCCTCGATAAGACGCCGACATCTTCTCTAATGGCTGATGATGAGCGCTAGTATCGTGGTAGCAATATGCTATGTGTTTACATCCATTGCCACCATGTTTGTAATGACTTATCACGAGAACAAACGTATTCACACGTGACTTTAATAACATTTCTTACTTAATGGAAACACCGCAATTGCGAAACTGTGTTTTTCAACATTAACAGGATATTGACAAAGTTTTACGCGCATTTGCAATGGAAATGCAGCTACTTATGGGGCGCCTTCAATGATAGGACGAGAAAAAGGAGCAGTTACTTGACTAAAAGAGGACAACCCAGACCTGTTATCATATCACTGTATTCCACCTCTCTGTTCTATGCTCATCACTCTCAGAGGAATATGGAGAGGTAATGAATACAGTCACTAAACTTGTTAACTTTCTCCGTGCTTCTTCATCTCACCAGCAACGCCTGCTTCGTGAGTTTTTAACAGAAGTGAATGCAGAGGCCAGTGACTTTCTCTTGCACTCCAATGTTAGATCACTAAGTGAAGGCCAAGTGCTGGCACCCTTCTGGATGCTGCGACATGAAATCAAACATCTTATGTCACAATGAAGTCACAGGGCTAGTATGTTCATGCAGTTTCTGGAGTACAAGAAGAACATGGAGAAGATCACTTTTCTTGTTCATACTGCAGCACACCTCAATGACCTCAACTTGAGATTACAAGGAAAGAACARTTCTGTGTGACTTGATAACAGATGTCAAGTCTTTTCAGAGGAAACTCGACAGACTAAAACAGGATCTTCAGCAGGACTGCACACATTTTCCTTCAGTAAATGAAATCCAGGTCCTGCTAAAATTACCTCACATGCTGCTTTTGTACAAAAACTGATTGAAAACTTTAAGGATTGCTTTGATGGCTTTGCTTTGGAAGATCAGCTCCACCTTTTCATAAAGAATCCTTTTCTAGTGAAAAATGTCATCACATTCTCACAGGAGGCCGCACATGTCTACAAATGTGGCCATGGGTTCTCTGCAAATGGAACTTGTAGATTTGCAAGCTGATGTACTGTTAAAAGAGCAACATGAAGCTTCTGATCATACTAGTCTCTGTATGCAGACTGTGTCAAAGACTAAGTTTCCAGGACTTACCAAAGTGGCAGTGTTTACCTTAATCATGTTTGGATCCATATACAGTTGTGAGTCAGCCTTCTCAACTCGTTACATGATTAAAAACAAATGTCACTCACAACTGACTAATGAACATCTGCAAGCATGTTTAAGAAATGTCTTGACCCCATTCCAGCCAAAGTTTAGGATGCTGGCTGCAATTGGTCATGCAAATTTCTCCCACTGAAGTGAGAGCCAGGACTGTTGTGCAAAATGTTTTAAGTTACATTGTGTTGAGTTTGTCAGAAATGTTTACTGCACAGTTTWCAGCAATTATTCATTTTGCTGAATTTTGCTTGAGTTTTTACGTGAATTGTTTTCACCTTTATGATGATTTGTGTGCAATAGATGTTGCAAAGATTATTACATATACTGTATGTAATGTTTATTTTTGTTTTGTTTTATTTTTTGTTTTGTGTAATATTGATCCTTAAATTGGATTGCACTTTTCTGTTCAGCAGATGGTGTGGTGGGCATATGAACAAATAACTAATAACTAAAAAACAGTTGTGAGTCAGCCTTCTCARGTCTTAATGATTAAAAACACATTTCTCTCACAACTGACTAATGGACACAAGTCCACTGTCTAACACCACAAGTATAGACACAAGTCCACTGTCTAACACCACAAGTATGGACACAAGTCCACTGTCTAACACCACAAGTATGGACACAAGTCCACTGTCTAACACCACAAGTATGGACA